TTTATACTAATATAAAAATGCTTGATTTGCACTCATCATGGAAAAATAAAATTACCTTCCCCTACACATTCAATTTCTGCAATATCACACTGCTAACATTTGGGGTATAAAATAATGCACTTATGTCAGTACTTGCACAACTATGTAAAAAAAAACCAAACAAACAAAAAACCACTGTGTAAAAAAGAGATCACGAATAACATCACATGATCTCAACATAGATTCCAACATGTTTCATTCTGAGAGGATCACAACAGTTTAGTTCCTTTATCAGTACTGTGCAACAGGGATGAAGTTATAAGAATAAAGAACTGAACTGAAAAATTCAGAGGGAATTTGGAGGACAGACTACAGTTGCCAAAAATCACAGCATGGTCCTCATACCCTGACAAACTACAAAGAGTTCAAAACAGTGCCCTGCAGAGAACCAGATTATTTTAAGAAAGACTTCCATTATCATATCTGAGTATACCTAAAAAGCTTTTTGCTCTAAATCCCACTTATCACATTTTCCTGTTTACATTTATGAAATCATTATAAACAGAGGAAGTCCAAGGATTTGGAAAGCATTACAATATGATCTAGGAGATAGCATTTTATCTCATCATCCATAAAAGCACATGCATAAGAGCTATAGAAGGATGTTGAGGAAAAGGCGAATTTCTTTTGAACATTTATGATTTTGCTGCATTGTTTCATTATTCAAGTCAAGCATCATAAAGGAAAAAAAAATTAGTTTAAATGAAAGATGTTAGCAGAAGCTGTTTTGTGAGGTTTCAAACACTTGACATCAAAATCTTGGCTATCTCCTCTGCTGTCCCCTTCCTTGCATTTTCTAGATCATTTTTCCTCATAGACTCAATAGACATATTGTTTCCTTCAAAGCCAAACTAACAATGTCTTACAGGAAATACCTGTATTCAGAAAAACCAAGCCCAGATCTGAAAAAAACAAAAAAACCCAAAGAACTGCAAAACAGTGCGGAAAAACTGAATAAGTAGCAAACATATGAAACATTTTTGTAAAATTCTAAGATAGATAGTTTTTTTATGGTTTGCTTTTTCTCCAAATGAAATGGTATCTACTCCAAAATCCATTTCATGTGCATACAGTCCAGAGTTTCATATGCGCTTCACATTTAGTATTTCCTATCAGCTGGAATTTGCTAGCTCCCCAAAAAAACTGAGTCTGTGGAGGTTGAATTGCTCATTGCTCACTGAAACTTAAAAACCTGTTCCTTTCTTTTTCTATGCAAGAATTAAGTTAGGATAATATCTGGAAAGATTTCATACTATTCCTATATGCTTTACAGAAATGCAAGATTCAGTCTTGTAAATACATCCATAATGTTTCAGATGAATTTTAGTAACATCTCAAATTTTTTGAACTGTAAATGCAAAAATAATTTCAGCAACCAACTCCTTCTGACCTGGCTCAGTTCCCAAGAGTCCAAAGGAGTTCCTACATTAAAGAACGTACCATAGAAAAGGTAGGTGTTACTTACATGAGTCCAAAAACCTACACATAAAACACAGTAGCTTCTACATGAAACAAGTCAAGAAACAATTCCTCATATTTGCATATTTTGCCAAACTGAACAATGTTTTTCCCATCATCTTTATTTACATACATTCTGATGAGTCTTAGCTAATTAACAGCAAGTGAAGAAATCCACATCTATCGTGCCATACCATAATTGTATGAAATCCGTGCCATATCACAGTTGCTTTAAGGTATAAATAACATGCAAAAATCTTCTCCTAAACATAAAAACTATTCATAGGAGATGACACAACAACAGCCTGTCATTCAGGAATCCTGCTTCTCAGTGTATACACCTAATGGCTTCTGCTTTCAATAGTTTCTGCACAGACTGATCACTTACGCAATCAGAAAGAATACTGCAAACAGTAATAACTCACGTTTCTGCACTTTCAGTTGACTAAATGGAAGATTATCTTGAGGCAAAATACACTCTTGAATTATATATAGGAAGAAATGCAAGCACTGAAGTACAGTGAAAATTCTGAACTGCCTCAATAACTCCTTTTAGTTTGCCTTGGAACTGTTTTAGAAAGCCAGGCTTTTAAAGGAGATTAAAAATGGAATTTACATGAAAGTTTAAGGGAATGCAGTTCTTTGAATTCTAATGGAAGAGCTATGCCTTTAGTTACAGAGCTACATAAAACACTCTAACCTGCAAGACAAAACTGACAGAAGATTCAGCTATCTAACATCAATAGAACACAGGTTAAAAGGGACATTTTTCTGAATATTAACTTTTAATTGACTTTAGGCCTAGTTTTATTATTTCTTTGTTTTAAAAATTCAAAAAAATATTTACATTCCAAGCTTCCTGCCAGTAAAAGTGGAATAAATCCTGTTACACATATTTTCTTACAACACAGCAAAAGACTTGGGTAATCATGTGAAATCCTTTGATTTCACTGCCAGATGAAATACGATGAAAATAAAGCACTACTGCAGCAAGCAAAGAGAGGATGTCAGTAGAGAACTTACAATTAGTTGACATCCAGTATTAGGATGCTTGCACTAAAAAAAAAAATAATAATTTAAGTCAACTTAAACTATTTGCCTAATTTCAGAATCCTCATGATTAAAATGTAAACCTGGTAAAAAGTGTTAGTTACCAGGTTGAATTTCTGAAATAATTACATGGATCTCCTCATATGTATACTAATACTTTGAAACACACAGTACTGAAAGTTGGGTATTAATTTTGATAGCATACATTGAAATGCCAGAAGAAAATATGGAAGAAGAGAACTTTAAAATAATTTTTTGAAGTTTCCTTCCTTTTCTTTCTGAAGCTTGATTCTCCAATTACAAGACATTATCCTAAGAACACTTACAGGTGAACAATACTTTACAAGACCTACCCGCAGTTATTTCTGTAACTTGTGTAATACTGAAATGATACGTACAAGAAGCAACTGCTTATGATTGCAACTACTGAGCAGTATATGAAATTTGAAACAAATAATTCAATAAACAGAAAAGTTATAAAGAAACATCTTCAGAATTCTTCAATTCCAAAGCAAGAATCACTGTAAGTGAGAATACTTCTCACAAAAACAGACTCCTAGAACTGTAAGTTAAATTCCTCATGATAGTGTACAAAACAACTGATTAAAACTTTTGTCAAAAGAAATAAAAACCCCAAAATAGATTTTTAAAAAGTCAATACTTGTAGAAAATATTGAATACTTTGGCTCCAGAAATTGGATGAATGTAGTATACCTTTGTAAAGGTAATACAGAAGGTGTTATTAAGTTTTACTGTGGAAAGTCAACAGTAAAACACAAGGATGTTACCTGCATATAGTATCAAAGTTGCCAATTATTTTTTGATAAAATGAAGAAGGAAAATATGCAAATGTATGATATAGCCTATTTCTATACATAACTTTTACATCAAATGTTACCTCTTAAGAGCTTCTCTAAGCTCCCTATGTTCCTCTTTCCTAGAATTAAAATCAACTTTATTTTTTCTTTCCTGCACCTCTCAAAATATAGTTTCACTGATGCAAAAGCCAAAATACCTAAATCCTACACTCAGAATTATATCCAGGTATGAAAGAAAGCTCATCTTAAGCCCTGCCATAATGTTTTTATTAATTGTTTTAGGAGTAAAAATCTGATTACTTCATCAAATAAATGCAGTATAGATATGTCAAGAAAACTAGAATTAATACCTGGTTGACTGAAAATTTCCAAATTGATAAGCAAACTCTCTGTGGTATAGCACCATCAAAAATTATTGGAAAAAAAAAGCTTGTGTAAGAAATGAAGAGTGTAACAGTATTTCATAACATTTTTCATATAAATTGGCATTTAATAAGCTTTCTTTATGCAGAAAGAAAGAAATTAGTGATCAACAATAAACATAAGTAATCATGGCATACAACACTTATGAAGAAATGATCTTGGGGGAAAATACTAAAATTCACCCAGATCTGGTATGATTTATCAATTCATATTGCCTAGTTCAAAAGATAGCTTCTCATCAGTTAAGTTACGCACACGCACAGTATATTTGATATCAAATTTAGCTGGAGGATATGCTGAAATATTATACTAATTTGTGCAGAAGAGCTGATATGATGTACAGTGGCCTAAATCTATAAGAGGAACCCTATGGGGAATGATGAAACACACTTTTAACAAATGCTTGCTGTATTACTAATGGAAATCTAGGATCATTTTCCATCATTTAAATTGTTTGCAAGGACATACATAGTTAATACCCTAAACTGACTCATAAATCTTTAAAAAAGCTTATACTTGAGACAAAGAATAGCTGCTTTCTATACTGACAATCTGCTCTTTTCTGTTTATCTTTTCTTAGCTAGTTAAACAGTTCACCAACCTTGAAGTCATCATACATTCGTGAACATCTGTGAACATACATCCGTTCACAGAGAAATCAATTTGCCTGGTATTAGTTACATTTGTGTTTCATATCCCAGATATTTGTCTCATCTTTTCACGTCTGAAAAGTTGTATTCATGTTAAGCTAAACACCCTTGGCACAGTGTAGGAATTTAAACTGCTGTTGTTCTTGAAAGCCACTTTCTACATATCCCAGCAGATTCAGAAAAATAAAAGTTTTCCAGCTTCTACGAGTTAACTTTGACCGCAGATACACAAGGTCAGAATAGTTTCATCTTTCCTGCATGCCTTCAAACCAAACCTTCTATCACACTAAAACTGTTAATTAACAGAGCATAGATAAGCAGAAAACCCTACCATACCTCCCAAGTTTCCATTATCTAGTCTGACTTCACGATAACTCCAGTGATACTCAGATGATTAGGTCTTAACTTAAGAACTTGAGAATTATGCATTATCAGAAGAGAAAAGATGTTAAAATAAGCAAAGATTTATAAAAACACATTTTTCTACACATTCCTTCCATACATACACTGATGCGCCATGACACCTCTATCTGCAATTGACACAGAACATAATTATACATACCACAGTTTGGTGGTTAACTTGAATCACTTCATCTCCAGCATGGATTTTCTTGCACCGATCTGCAGGTGACTGAATTTAAAATAAAAGAGATGATAAAGAATACAGTCCTTACTGGTCATCATCTCTCTTTCAGCAGTATGATTGCTAAGGTATGTAGATCAGGTTAGATTGATAATTACATTCCACTGTGAAACGAACAATTAAAGAAATGTTTAATAAATCAATTCATTGTTGTTGGTGAAAAATAATATGTACTATTGTACACAATACAATCAACTGTTAAGGAAGCTATGTATATATATTATTAAAGGATAATCAAGTCTTAAAAATTTCTTCATCATTTCATTCCACTCAAAGCCACCTGATATCTCTCAAGTCTTAACAGACAGTTAAGAACCTATCAAGGCGAATTTGAAATTGCTTCATGAAAAAATTTCCCAACATTGCCTTTTGAGTTACTTTTAAATATTTCAATAGATTCAAAAGAACTTCAGTAAATCACTGCTCTTAGAAGAACACACAAAGAAAAGAAGTTTAGGCCAGCTACCAGGCAGGAAGATCACGTAACTTACATGGTAACTTAGTGTCTTGGTCATTATTATGGTGAAAGTACTGAAGTATTGAAAAAAGCAATACAATCCTAAGATAACACTTTCAAGAAGCAAAGTAGCTTTTTTCTTTGCTTTTGCCTCAAAAAAAAAAAAACACAAACAAAAAAACCCAACAACCACAACCCAAAAACAACAACAAAAAAACACCCCACAAAACACGCAACAAGAAGAAAACCAATCAACAGAAGAACCTTTATCCTCTTCTACTACCTATATTTACAGTAGACCAGCTGTTTTCTGAGGCAAGAAAAAAAAACACCAAAAACACACACACAAAAAACCCTTATGTTTGAAGGAAAATAACTTCCTTAAGCTTTTTGTAGAGTGACAATTCTATCTTTCTCTCAATACTGTAGCCTCCAGCCTATAAAGTCACTTAATCAACTGAAAGGCATAAGTTGAAATTGACAATCTAAAAAAAAACCCAAAAACAACATGTTGCTCAGGAGCAGATTTTCAAATACCTGCTATGAATTCTAAAGGAATAAAGAAAATGAAATTAATTTTCAGGTAAGATAACACATAGTCTTGATAACATGCACCAAGGCTGCTAAGTGGATTGTTTGTGATAAACTGTGTACTACATTCCATGTTCAAAATACGTGTTCCATATCTGTGCTATGACTTTCTAATGCAATCTCACGTGCATCATGGCTTGGATTAAGAATGGTGTTTAAAAGAAACTGAGAAACCCAAGAGAAATATGTGTCTAAAAGATATGTCACTCACAACTCAGTTCTAGGAGGCATTGTTTACAACATCCTGAGTCAAGGTAGGCTGGTAGAAGTGTAATTTTATTTACATAAAGAAAAGCTGCCTTGTCTGATCGGCTCTATTTCTTGGGGGAAAAAATTTAGCACTAACAACTATGTACCAGGAATCTACCTCCTGTCTGATGCTTCACCACTCACACCTGCTCATTCACTCTGCTAACAATCTTTACAGTCCTGCTGCGCAATATCACTATTTTAGATCCAATATTTTTACACCTAAGAATTCCAAAATGTCTATGCTAGTGAATCCTGTGTCACCACCCTTGAACACAATGGGATTTTATTACAATATCATCTTTCTCCTGTACTGACTTCAGCATTTGCAGCTTAAATCTCTACAAAACTGGTATTTTTTGTGCAGCAGTTTGCTGAGACAGTAAAATAAAGGGGAATCTTGAGACTGGAAAAGTCTACTATAAAGAAAACAAATAAATGATTGCAATTATGCCTGGAATACAATGCAACATGACAGTGAAATCATTTATACTGGAGTCTCAAGGCTGTTGTTTTACGAACAAGTTTCAATTTCTTAATACTTTTTTGACAAGAATACACAAGTTAAGATATAAAATCTTTTATCACTATTTAAGGAAAATCGAAGAGCATCGATAAACTTTTTGTATTATGATTTTCTGATCTTTAAGCAAAGCATCAATTTGTGAAGCACTAAAGGGAGAAATACTGTGTCACATGACATTGTTAGCTAATAGTTTAGTTTAACAGGGACTTGAACAGATGGAAGTACCTGTTGCTGATGCTTATCCATTCGTATCATATAAACTAATCGAAATCAAATTTATTCTTCAAAATGCATTTCGTTTTGATCCTTAGGTTAAATGTCTTTGTCCCATTCCCCCAGTACACCAAAACTGTCTGAAAGACCAACTCAAACAACCCTGCTCCCATTATTTCTCTTGAAAGGCCTGTCTTCCCTGAATACACCCTGCAAACCAGTGGACCATGCATGCATGAGAACACTGGATCACATCCTTTCAAGTTACAATCCTGCTGTACATGTAGCCCATGATGTTTCTTAGAAAACATTATTTTCTATTAGAAAAACAAATTACCAAATGATTTTATATGGAGGATACATTTGTTTTGTCATTTAAAAGACTGTCTCTAATTTGGTCTAGACAGGCTACTCAGTATGAAAGCTGTAATCTCTTGTTGGAATAATGCATCCTTTAGAATTGTTATTTTCAAACAAGAGTGGGAAGACACAAACCAGAAAATTCATGTTGCTCTAATGCTACAGAATCACTAGACAGAAGCTCTTTCAGGGCAGTGACCTTTAAGAAAACTTGGTCTCTCATACTTCAAGGCTCAGAGCTCCACTAATCTCAACTGTAGAACTGATGTGTTGGGAAAGATGGCTCATAATGCTGAATGGCAAGATGCAAATTCAGTTTTGTAGCTGAACATCAAAAACTTCAAATTGCAAATAGAGAAAGCAGAACTGTGGATTAAAATGCTATGTTAGATTAGGCAGCTAGTATTGCCATACTACTGTGTTTATTAAAAAGACAAGTGTTTCTCTGTGATCTGTCAGGAACGTGTCAGATAAAAAGTTGTGCCAATGTCTTATCACAATGAGCGGAATTGGAAAGATAAAGGCTGTAAACTTTTGTTCAGAAGGAAGAGATTTGGACTAGAGTTTTCCTAGAACTTCAACTGCACCAAAAATGGTAAACGGGGCAGCATCAATGAATCAGATTGAATCTGCATCATCACCACCTTACGCTGACCATGCTGCTTCGATGTTTCTCCTCACATCTATCAGAATCACGTTACTTCTTCATTAAATAAAGTGGCTAGCAACTGTGTGTTTAAAAGAACACACACACTTTACTTTCCCTAAGGCACAACTCATTTTCACTAACATTTTAGCACACAACAGGCTTTTCCCTAGATAGCAGACTGCAGTTTCTTGGTTTGCTATGAGAACCTTAGGGCTGTTACAATGAATGAGCATCAGTAACAAAAGCAGAAAAGCCATCATAACTGAAGCTTCATGACATGGTTCTAAATTACGTTCATGAATCACAAAAGGTAAATGTTTTGAGGGAATGCATTAAGATTATTTTTATCATTGCCCCTGGGAAATTAAAACCACCATTAGCGACTTACAGAGAGAAATGGTTTCTTGTATAATCAGATATCCAGCCATAAAAAGCATACTCTCTTACGCTTTCTAGAGTTGGCTCAACTATGCTTATGCTGTTTTTTAGCTTTGTTAATTTTACTGATGATATCTGGAGTTTCAGGTATAAGTACCTACAATTTTTATTTCAAGGGTAAATTTCCATGTACCTTCCTTATTCTTGGGCAGCATCATGAGAAGTTCTACAACAGATATCATTTGCTGGATAAAACATGGATATCCTGCCCATACCAAAAGGAAAAAAAAAAAAGAGAGGCTATCAGATGGCAATTTCTATGAAGGGATAAAACAGCAATCCCATTTTATTCAGATTTTAACAGAGCCTCACTGAATATCAGATGTAACAGCTGCAAATAGTGTGCAGGCAGTTTCACAATATGACACGGTAACAGAATAAAACATTTCTGACAGCTTTAAGAAAGTGCCATCAAAATCTTCACAAAGAAGAAAAATTTCGAAAAAAATTTGAAACAGTTCAGTATTGTTTAGTAGGTTGTTCGGTGTTTATTGAAGTTTATAATGATCATCTTGCTCATTTCTTAACAGCATGCTATTACCCTATACGTGGTGGACAAAAAGGCGTATTTCAGCAGCTGAAAATTGGTCTACTGTGTTATGCTTGCTGTTTAATACTTTCAGTGAGAATTAGTACACCAGTAATAAGTGCTCCTTTCGATAGGCATTGCTCAGTTCATGCAGAAACGTGTTTATTTGTCAATATGGAGGCACATCTTCACTTCCATGCACTTATTTATTACAAAACAAAGCTTGACATATGGAAAATATAAAAGCTGTTTTTCTAATACTGCAGCAAACTCCAGCATTTCGATCTACACATAACAAAGATTTACCTTTTTTTTCCCACAGAGCAAGAACTCCAAGGTAACCACCTCTTATTTCAATCAACTGAATCATTTTAGGTGTTTTACAAGAGCAAATCAAGACTGATTCTCCTGGTTCTCAGCTGAGAACTACTGTTTCAATTCTGAGATAAACAAGCAAAAGCATTTCTGCTGCCCAACATGCTACTGGTCCTCATCAGCCAACTAGCACACTTTCACAAGCAAAATGTAGTCTACAGCAAAGGGAAAGCATAAACCACAAGTAATGTCAAAAAGGCTTCCAGGCCTGTACGTACAGTATTAACAATACTTACATTTTCTGTTGTTCCAGTAATTACATGGAGACCATCATATGTTGACTTAATGTACATACCCTAAGAAAAAGACATTATGGGAAAGAATTTTTAAAGTGTTTCACAAATGATCACCATCCAAACATAACTTGCATATCTCTAAAAGAAAAGCCTTTTTTTCCCCCAGATTTGGTGGACTTTTAGTACAGGTCACAAGGAACTAGTATTTGGGCAGGACGGGTCTCTCTGACACACATAGAGAACAACAGCCCAAATGATTCCAGCCCTAATTAGCAAGAGCAGCCTAAAAATTACCACAGTCACGTCCATAAATACTTTACAGCTTTCTTTTGCTTTGGAAGCCACAGAAGACTAGAGTCCAGTCCACACAAACATACCTTTCAAACTGATAATCAATGCTGTGAAGCATGCTGGCAAAATGAACCTAAGACTTTCTGACTGTCTTTACTCATCTCAGTGGGCAGTTCAGCTATAAAACTGAATAATGACAACTTAAACGTCAACTTTATTAGCATTGCTGCTTCTTTCATAAACTATGGAAGCAAAGGGATAGCTTATGGACAGTTACAAGTTCCTACATGGGTACTTGGGATAGAACCTCAAATCTGTTTTTTCATCAAGTTAAAATTAGAACATTTTGATAGCAATCTCTAAAATAATCAAAAAAAAGGAAAAAGGAAAGAATTGACATACACTGCATATTTAGCAATTTCTGAGGAAGTTCTCTTTCCTTAACTACTTCAGAGGAAGCAAGTAAATACTGAGCACTCAAGCAAATGTTATCTCCACCATCATTTATTTCTCCTCTTAAGCAGAGCGCTACAAAGAAACCTGTTTCTAGTTGACGAACAGGGTGCATATACCAGTGATAAATGGTAAAGAGCAAAGATGACTTATCCATTTTAGCTAATCTAATTTGGGACCAGAATTCACAAACATTGATAGTGGAAAAGAGGAAGTATTCCCTACTTAAGGTGGTGACATCACAACCAGAAAAAAAATATATATATATATGCGTTTCTCAGGAGGCAACGCTCAAAATTAACTTTTATTTTGCTCGGCACAATATTAGAAAAAACTTCATCCCTGAAAGAGTGGTAAAGCACTGGAACATGCTGTCCAGGGAGGTGGTTAGTCACTGTCCCTGGAGGTGTTCAACAAATGCAGATGAAGTACTAAAAAATACAATTCAGTGAGTAGCATTGGTAGCAGGTAGATGGTTGGACCAGATGATCTTAGAGACCTTTTCCAACCTTCATGATTCTGTGCGACAATAAGAGCATGAAATCTTGTTGTCATATTGGGCTGCCATAGCTGGAAGAGCACAAAGGAAGGATCTGTTCTCTCAGGCAGGTAAGAGCCCCCTAACATTATTTTTCACCTTCTACCTCCTCTATCCACCTTAAATAACATTCCATTGATTGTCTCCATGCACATGGTTTCCTCAGTCATATCAAATACAGTACAGACGTTTCTTATACAGTTATCCTCACAACACCCCTGTGAGGTAGGGAAACACTAATATACACACATTTTAAAGACAGAGTAATGAGTCACATAATAGATACGTTGTTTTTGAGGTGTGGGGGTTTTTTGGGTTTCTTTGTTGGGATTTTTGTTTTGTTTTGTTTTTTTTGTTGTTGTTGTTTCTAATCCCTACCCCGAACAAAATACAAAACAGCATAACATCACTCTTAAGATTGCGATCTAAGTGACCTGACCAGACACCATGCAACACGGCAAGAGTTGAAACCACAGTGCTGGCAGGAATTATGTGTCAGGTTCATGCAGAGCAATATCTGAAGGAAGTCACAATTTTGTTTTTGCTGACAATAAATTACTGATTTCAAGTTAAATATCAAAATGAAAGCATAGGATAAAGTTTCACACTTAACTTCATGTTCAATTTCATGCATTATTCTGAAGGATGGTAAAGTCTTCTAAGTATGCTATTGTGGAGTAGTGAACATTGCATCCAATCTAATCTTTCCTAGAAATCTAAAAGAACTTCAAGAATCAAAAGAGAATAAAGATTTTTGAATTTTTTTCTTTAAAGGCTAAAATCAAGACACTGTGCACATCAGAAGAGAAGCTGTAATAAATTCTGCACATGCAAAGTTAAGAAGAAATGTTACACTGATACTATGCCACATTATTTGAAAGAACCAATACCAATCTGTTTACAAAATAGCTTTTAAATGGGGAGAAGTAACATTTTGCCATTTCCAAAAGAAATGCAATGGAAGATGAGCTACCCCTCCACACACACAACCCACTGCTTGCTTTAAGTGAATCGTGCATCAGAAACGGTACAGAAAAGAGATAGGACACGTTTCCTCTGAAATGAAAGAATACAAAAACGTTTACAGTTTTTCCTCCTTGCCTCCTTGTGGCTGCACAGTATCAACAAGACTCTTAATGATCAGTGTGCACCATTCTTTCCACTAAAACAAATTGGCAGATACACAGCTTCTATATTCAAAGACAATGCCAAAGATCCTAAGAACTTCTTTAATCTGAGGGATTCTTATAAAAGAAAAAGTAATGCATTTTATATGGCTAAGATAACTACAGAAACCATCCTGGGAATAAACAAGAACAAACAAATTCCTTGATTAAAGATCAGGTAACTTGTGCTTCATTACATCACAGATTGTTATGATCAGTTATAGGCAGAAATCCAATTTCAAACCACTTAATACATGTTATCTTAGTATAAACTATTTTTTAGTTAAGGCTTCAGAAAACAATGACTTTTTTTCTTTTTTGAAAGAACCTGTTTTACATTTAACTCAATTTACTCAATACTGAATGGAAAACACAAGAAGATTTAAATTCCATTTTTCATGTACGTAACTGAGTCTTTACTTTCTCCATGATGACATCTTAATGCAGTCCCCTGAAGCTGCATTAGCCTCTTTAGCCATGAACGTGCTCCAAAAGTGCAAAAGTAAACACACAGCTCAAAGTAAACCTGAGCGTCTTAGCTCAGCCCTAGAGCTTAAGTATGATTAGTAAAGACCAAAGTCCCAGCAGTTCTCAAAACCCTATTCACAGCTTTCCCCTCCCTCTCCCCCCCCATCTCCTCCAACATTTCAAGACAAATAAGAGGAGAAGTATCAGGAACTGGTAGTACACTAGATGCCTGAAAAATACTTCCCAACTGGACACCCACCAGCGCAGTTTTAACCAGCTGCTCTTCTCTACATATAACTTCTATTTCATGAGTGCATTTTCTCATAGCAGGCCCATTTTGTGTTTGCTTTAGCAAGCAAAGGGGAAACAAGAACAACCAGTCTAATATTCAGGTATATTCACCTTTGCATTTCTGAATCTAACAAATTAGGTGAATTGCTTGAACTTGAAGTCATATCACAGAACTCATTAGGTTTGTTATCACATCCATTAACTGACTAGTTTTAGTTTTTCCTGTTTGTATTTGATTTTCTGCCTAATTTGTGCCACAGTTCTCCAGTATTGTTCTGTATTAAAAAAAAAAAAAAAGTGAAAGAAAAGGCACTGTTGAAGAAAAACCTCCCCAAGAAAAGTGCTATTTATAACTTGCTTTTTGTCTAGAAGTAGTTGAGTAGTATTCTGTTTCTTAGCTAAACAAACTTGTTTTTAGTCAAACTAATATTTTTAAGTCTGTTTCCTGGCAAATGATATTATAGAAATAAGACTGGCTAGCTTAGATAGAATCAATATGGGAAAAATACACAAAACTGGATTCTACTTCGTGATACAGATGTAATAATTTTTAGAAGAATTTTATACTCTGACAGATCCCCTTTCACTCTTACTTCACAATCACTGCAGGATGCATCTCTTTCTGCAGCAACACCCATTCGTGAACACATATGCAGTCATTCACGTGGGCAGACTAGGGATAAAGAAAGGAGGAAAAAAAAGATAAAGAGCAATACCAAAACTCACCCATGTTTCATACAAGCTTTACCCAGTACACCAGAATTTCTCCATATCACATCCAAGGAACATCCTTCCCACACTATTTAGTTCATTTCCTGATAACCGTTTTATAATTATAATAAGACATTGTATGTAGCAAATTTACCTCTTCCTTCTGATAATTGGATGATTTCCACAGAAACAGTTCAAATATAGTAAAAGAACTGCATGTTGATCAAAATACACTGATAGTGCTGCTATTTCTTTAATGTTGTAAAAGGTCCAACCATTTTCTCTATTCCACCTCATATTTGCCATATTATTTTAGGGAAATAGCATTGTTTTCCAAATTTTACATCTATTTTTCTTCTTTTTCATTCCCTGATCTGTTTCCTCTTCTTAGATATTAAATTCAAGATATTTTAAACATGCCACTTATGCTAGATGACGAAACATCTTCCAAGTCAACAGTCATCCATGCCCTTTTGCTTTCTCCTTGAAGTCTTTTCAGCTTTATAGAAGATTTTATTTAGTGAGCAGTAAGGCCAACACAGAACTGTCATGTGGGTCCAAAATGTAGAACACAGTTGACAATAATCCATTTTCCATCTCCAACATTTCATGAATCCTGGAAGAAGGTCCAGAAGGTCCACATTCACCCTGCTTGTGATGTACAAACACTATTAAAACTCCACACTCCACCTTTACTTCTTAAAATGATACAAAGAGTGCTCTATATTAACGGAAAGATATTAGTGAAATGACTAAAGAAAATATCAGTAGCCTGGAAACAAAGCTTTTGTACAAAGCCCCAAGATGATCTGTTAGTAAGACTGTAACAAACAGATAGGTACAATATGCACTTTTTGGTGCAAAATATGTAGTTCTTGATTCCTGCTCTGGAGAGCTCACAGTCTAAAGAAGCCAGCACAATACAGGGCAAGAGAAGAGCCGCATATGGGGAAGCATAAAGGGGAAAGAAGTTCACTCTGTGGAAGTAGGTTTGTGTCCTTCTAAAGCCTGTACGCAGCATAATAGGTACTTCTCAATTTTTTTAATACATACGATTATTTTTTAAATGACAGTGACGTGGTCAGCATCAAGACTCTGTTCAATTTGTTCGCAGACATTTACTAAAAAAAAACTAAAAATGGTACCAGACAAGACAGACAGAGGGTAGAAAACAGAGGGGCAAGAGGTTATCTATCTCATCATCTGGCAAGCAGGAACAGACCCTTGTCCTTGTTTATATAAAGTATTGGTCTTATCATTTTTCAGTAACTGGGGATATCACTACCCTACAGAAAGGCTTAAATAAGTAAAAACAAACAAACAACAACACAGTCACAAGGCAGAACTGTAAAGAAATAAGGAAAAGCTAAGATAAAATTGGACAGAACTCCAAAAGAGGTGGCTGAGAGAAAGAAAAAAAACATTTCTTCATTACAACAGAAGATCTAGAAAGGCTGACTGCAGTGAGCTGGCAGAAGAGTGAGAAAATTACAGGAGAAAAGAGAGAGAGTCCATGGAAAGCTGAAATCCTGGAGGAACAGTCTGAAATGCATTCAGAAAGGAAAAGAAAGCCAGTGGTGGAGGAGAAAACAAATAGTAGACCAGAAAAACAGTATGGGGCAATACGTACGTATCCAGAAGTGCTTTTTTATTTATACTGTAATCATAGTTTACCAGAAGAGGGGAAAATTAGCTTAGTGTATAATTAATCTAAATACTTTGGCATACCAAATTTGCAAAAAAAAAAAAAAAAAAAAACCGAAAAAAAAAAAAAAAAAAAAAGGAAAAAAAGACAAAACCCCAACCTCTAATACAACAAACGCACAAGCCAGAATACTCTAAAACTACACCATCCAAACAACAACTTAGAAACCTACTGCTGAGAAGAGCACAGCAGTGATTTCTCTTATTTAAGTAAATGGACTGAGAATAAACTTGGGATTAAGCTGCAAAAGTTATTTCATTAGGCAGAAAATGGTTAACTGTACTTTAATCAACTGCTTTCTCCAAGGATTGTGGGAAGATATATTAGTAGTGATGTACAGCTGTAATTGTTACCTGTTGTGTTCTTCATGCAATGAGTGTTGGATACCACAAACAAAAAATGTAAGTCAACTCTTGAGCAGCAAACACAGGCTGGCTGCACTGAGCCTTTACAACCACCTGATTAAGCGTGCAGAGTTCTTGCTATAAAATTCAATAAGCTACTTCTCAGCAGTGCTGTGCAGCCTCTGGATAACTTACAAAACAGCTCTATATCCCTGAGATACTATGAGGCATATTCCAGAATTTGACAGTTTTTGTGCATAAGCCCACGCAAACTTCTTGGTTGAGTTGATCTTAGTAATTTAAATCCCTTCAGACTTAAAGATGCTAGAACAATCTGAACCATTTCTTAGAAGCTGGTATAAATGACAAGAACTCCTCATTCATTTCTTCTTGTTCACTAAATTTTCACATACATTGTTCAGCCATACAAAACACTTCCCTACTGGCCCAGCTGCATGAGAAATCAAACTAGCATGAGAAATCAAACTATTTTCAGACTTGAAAAAAAGAGTCTAAAAAGTCCTATTCATTTCCACATATACAAATTGTTTTGTTATTTGTTACTCTCTTATCATGGATGATGTGTTTGATTAACTGCGTACTTCTTACCAGCCCTTCACTTGGCTTGATGTTTGTAAGCTGGATCACTTCAAGGTGGGCCGACTGGGAAACCAGGGGATCAGAAGAGAGTGAGATGATGTGGTCACAGACACCAGAGAGAGTTTTACACTACGAAGAAAAAATAAAAAGCCGTAATAAGTACACCATTACTAACTGTTTACTATTTAACCTACAACTTGAAATATCACATTGTTAAAGAAATCAGATTAGGGAAGGAAAATAGAGGCAAATATTGTTGCTTCTCAGTAAAGACAAAGGGACCACGTGGGCTGCTCCCATGCCCTCCTAGAGTGAGGTGAATACTTTTATGCTGTGCTCTGGCAGACAGGGAGTGAGTGCATGGAGACCTCCAAGCTGCTCTCTCTTGGTGTTTTTCACAAAGCCATTAAATGCCCCAGGCCCTGTTATTTTCAGTTGAAAGTGCAGACATTCAGCACAGATGACAATCAGGCTCTTAACAACCATGGGCAACTCCCATTAACTCTGAAGTTTATTTTGTACTCATAAAACATGCTAATTGACTTTGGACTGAGTTTCTCATCTTCTGCTGGTGCCAAGTATGATTTACTATTGCAGGCACAAAGATGACAATAAATAACCGCTTCACGATGGGATAATTCTTAAACCTGTTATCCTTGGCAGCCTCCTTACAGCAAGATAGAGACAGAAAAAAGATTCTAAAAGGGCTGGAGCTGTCAAATGGGTGCTTTCTATTTTCTCATATCTAACTCCCTCTTGTCAGAGGCAGGGAAGTTGTGATAAATTATTTGTTAGCCTTCTCTCATGTTTCTGTAAGCAAGCAATTTTGAGAGCTCCAGTGTTTTCTACGGAATCCCCTTTCAGCAGCTAAAACCAATTTTTTAGTTCAGGTTTCAGTGTGTTTTGTCAGAGAATTTGGGGATTAGAACATTCTTCTGGTCCCATAACTGCAGGTATCAGCGAAACCAGTGAAGAGGCAGCTTAACTGCCGTTACATGCAAAAGATTAAATTTAACCCATCTCTTCAAATGACTGAAACCCAACTACACCCAACTGCTGCACCAACTACTTTTCCAAGATTGCAAAGCATACTTTTTAAGGTACAGGCATCTACAACAATAATATAGAAATAGGATATAAAACTGGATATAATCTCCACCGACAAGCAACCCTCGTAATTCTAAATGCCAAACTGCAAATGCTTTATGGAGAAAGGAAAGTAAAAAAGCTGCTGTGAGAAAAAAAAATCAAAAATAAAAATGCAGTGACAGTGGAAACTTAATCTTGTTGCAGACCATCACATTGAAGTTTTCTCCTCAAACTTGACAATCGGCTGGAAAATTTTATATTGTATAGATGGATTACTTTATTCAACGATAATACGAAACATGAATAATTAAAATCAAATGGAAGACATAATGAAACACTACCAATGTGACCTTCTTCCAGAGATAATATTACTTTCAAGCACATACATTCACGAACACACACAAATTGCTTCTGCTTTGTTTGTATTTCACGTCACAGCATCGTTAATGAAAAAAGAAATTCAAGGTTTGGTGCTTTACCAGAACTAGGGAGAATTTGAAAAGCTATAATGATCAACTTGACCACAAAATTCATTTTTTTAAGACTTTTTGGGTAAAAGAAAACTGGTTTGAGCTGAAACTTACAAAACGGTAAAACTGATATGAAATTCCATAACAAATGAAAACTTAGGGTTTTGTTGTTGACTTCTTTTGGTTTTAAATACAATACTGGTATGTTACCTATACTTTTAATTCTCTTGCAACTGCACCAAAAAGAAATGAAAAATCCTTTTTAGAAACCTAGCGGACTTAATCTCTCACATGCAAAATGAAAAGTCCCACGCTATGAATTATTTTTTGCTGATTAAAACTGACTTTAGACTTGCTTTCACTACATATATTTCCTATTAATTGCTTTAAAAACTACTAAGCTTATGGAGTGTGGGTGAAAATAAGGTGGTGTGAATATTTGTCAAAAGGTGCTCCAGGAATACTGGATGCAAAAATCACCAAGTTACTATGATTGAAAAAAATATCTGCAATATACCTCTAGCATTCCTTAAAGATATTTTATTTAAAATCTTTTGACATCATTAATGTTTATAAATATGTAAAGGGTGAGCGTAAGGAGACTGAAGCCAGGCTTTTCTCAGTGAGATCCGATAGAACAAGGGGCAATGAGTGCAAGCTGGAACACAGGAGGTTCCACACAAATATGAGAAAAAACTTCTTCAAAATAAGGGTAACACAACACTGGTATGGGCTGCCTGGAGAGGCTGTGGGGTCTCCTCCTCTGGAGACATTCAAAGCCCGCCTGGTATATCTGATAAAGGTGTTCCTGATCTGGCAGGGGCACTGGATTAGATAATCTTTTAAGGTCTCTTCCAACCCCTGACTTCTATTACTTTTTTTCCATCCTAGACATTAATTCTGCTGCCCAATAGGATGGTATCTGGTACATTAGAAGCACAATAAATGAGCCACAGCAAAGTCTCTAACAGGGACTCTAGAGTTAGAGGATGTACTTTCAGATGAAGACTTCAGTACTATGACTTTTCTGAAATTTAAGCTCTCATTCAGTGGGAATGCATATACAGCTGGATTTCTAGGAAAAAAAAAATGATATTAAGGGGCAAAACGCTGCTGCATTTAAAAAAAAAAAAAAAAAACATCTTTTCTGCTTCATGCTTGTCCAGGTTGAGTACAGAGAAGCTCTAGAAATTCATTAAACGTTATCAGGTTTATTACCATATATTTGTATCATGTTAGTGGTGACTAGAAATAGCAAAAGAAAATTGAAAGTACAGAAAAAAATGAAAATAGAGTAAGTTCCTGAATTCTTTCAGTTTCTGATCAACAGAATTAAATCTTTTTCTTCTAAAAGAACACTAATGGACATAAGTGATTCAATAAAACAATATGCCATCAACTAATAGTCCGTGAAGACAGTTTCTCAAGAAACAGTCATTCAACATAATGAGACCTAATCACAACATTACTTGCTTAATAATTGTGGAAAAGCTTTGTCCAGAAACCTAATTTCATTAAAAAAGGTTTTGTTTGCTTCTGAGAACCTTCCTTTCCTTTGGAGAGAGAATGATGTTTATTGCAGGAGGTTTTTGAACTTAAGCTCACTGCTATTACATAATGAGCTGACATATTCATGTTCCCTAGACTTCCTGTATTTCACATATATTTGCATGGCAATAAAGGAATGAGCCTGATTTGTTTTTAATTAAGCTGGTCAAGAGATTTCAGAGTAGTATGTATTTTCTGTTTTGTCGCTCCAACAAAATGTATAGACCTAAGGAAAAAAGAAAGAAAAAAGAAAATGGGTTTGGGTTCTGCCCAACAACCCAAAACTTTCAGCTGACATAAGCAAATACCCAGCAACTCATTTTCTTCTGAAAGCGTAAGTCTGCCAATGTCAGAATTCCCACAGAATCTTACGAGTCTCTCTTAACTATTATATATTCAAATATCTTTGATGAAACAGTTTGTAGTTAGAGTTAGACTGCAAGCAAGATCAAGGGTCTATCAAGCTAGTGTGAAGGGTAACTACCAGAACTCTGAGCATGCGCAGAGCAAGGACAGCAAGGAGTACACTTGTGTGCAGTAGCTGTCCTCTCCTCCCTGAAAGAGCAGGTTCAGGGGCTGTCACTGAAAACACGACCAGAGGATGATACTGCCAAAACTATGCATTTTTCCTTGTCCTTACTTTCAGAAAAATCTCATTTAGGGTTAGTTTTATTTTGTTTTTGGAAGGTTGATTGTTTGCTTTGTTTTTCTTTTTCAGCCCAAGCAAAGTATCTAAGCTCAGATGACTCTGGAATACATTCAAACAGTACATATATGTCAGTTTATAACAAAACTTTATAGTAACTGGGAAAAAAAAAAAAAAAAAAAAAAAAAAGTGGGTCTGATTTTAGTTGCAGTCTGGTTCCTGCCTAAATTACTATTGTTAGCTTCATTGGCCAAGACTTTTTAATGTACTGATCAGCATAACATAGTATACAGAGGAAACTTCAGGAGTGTTCTCCATTCCAATTAGGAGTTCAATGACTTCTTCATGGAAAATGACAAGTTGCCCCCGCTCATCTTGAACCTCCCCAGAGAGTTGGGAACTTCCATAGCAAAGATGCTGCCATGGCACAAGAACAATATTAATTTAAAGGAGACATGTTTCTGCACTTAGAAAGTTCCCAACTAAATCACCTTTGACTTCTCTACAGCACTTTTCCTAAACGCTCCACTGCAGCTCATCAGGTTTATTCCACACATGTTGTTTGTGAGCTCAACTCAAGCAACTTCTCATTTTAAATCTAAAGTTACATTCAGTGCTCTAATTTTTCCCAGACTTCACTGTAGCATTCACTTTGGCAGAAGCGAATGGAACAAATTATGTAGGTGAGAGAAATGCTTAGGCTTTTTATTAATGATATATTCTTTGAGAGAAAGAAATGGACCGACATGCTTTCATATATGCTACTGAATTAATTTGAGTGGAAGAAAAGCACATCAACAGCATACATTTGTTGCTCAATTTGTTCCATATAAGACAACACTTTTCACCTTAGCTCTTCAGCACAAATGCATGCCTGTGATACAGCTTATGCTGCACTAAAATCTGATGTCAGCTCCTCTCCCCTTTTCTCTAAAGCGTTAGGTACCTTTTGCTTCTTTGGAAAACTAAATTTCTGATTGTGAAGACATCGTTAACAGGATCAGAATGCTAGATACTACTTTCATAACTTCTGATTCCCTACTGCAATATCATTTAGAAACATATGACTTTAGAAGCTAACAGACGTGTAAATACACTAAATTAATTTGGGGGCCATAACTGCTCTTCAGCCCTGGCTTGGACATCCTATTAATTCTTTGCAAGGATGAAAGAAAATAGTGTTACCCAAATTAACCTAGCTCTTTTCCATTCACCACTTTCTGGACTCCAGCAGAGAAAACAGGCTTCTCAGCAAGAGGTAATGAGTGAAAGAACAAGGGGAAAACTGCATCTCAGAAACCTACAGAAGATGCAGAGTTTTCTGCCATCCAGAGGGAGTGGGACAGACCCTCAAACACCAAGCAGCACTCCTGTGC